AACACAGGGAGAAAGTGCAGAGAATTTAATTTGCAAGCACTATATTTGACCCTGTAATTTTCCAAGACACCATAAAACCTTTACAAAGGTGGTACTGTTTTACTCAGGAGACTTTGCTGAACTCAAATATTAGTGTTTCAAACTGGTAAATTGTATTACAACATTGATATTTTAAGTAAAAGTAAAGTTTTTTGCATTTTTTACAAACGAACTGCACTTTTATGGACTATATTATTGTTGTAATATGTTTTACTGTTTTAAAACACTAATATTTGTGTTTAGTGAAGTCTCCCGAGAATAACAGTACCCCCCATGTACAGGTTTTATGGTGTTTTGGAAAGTTAGAGAGTCACATATAAGGCTTGCATTTCGTTTTTTTGACATTGAAATTTGCCAGATTGGTTATGTTGCCTTTGAGAGCGTATGGTAGCCCAGGAATGAGAATTATCCCCATGATGGCATACCATTTGCAAAAGTAGACAACCCAAGGTATTGCAAGTGGGGTATGTCCAGTCTTTCTTAGTAGCCACTTAGTCACAAACACTGGCCAAATATTAGTTTTTTGCTTTTTTCACACAAAAACAAATATGAACGCTAACTTTGGCCAGTGTTTGTGACTAAGTGGCTACTAAAAAAGACTAAACATACCCCACTTTCAATACCTTGGGTTGTCTACTTTTTCAAATGGTATGCCATTATGGGGGTAATTCTCATTCCTGGGCTACCACACCGTCTCAAAGGTAACATTACTAATCTGGCAAATTTCAATTTGAAAATGGAACGTTCTATATTTGACCCTGTAACTTTCCAAAACACCATAAAACCTGTTAATGGGGGTACTGTTGTACTCATGAGACATCGCTGATTACAAATATGTGCATTTTTTTGCAGTAAAACCTAACAGTATTATGACATTCACAGCTAAAATGTCAGACGGAAATACAAATTAAAAAAAAAATCTTATTTTCTCACATTTTTTTAAATTTTATTCATAATAAATTATGTTCCATATATGAATAGTTAATGATAAATTAAAGCCCTGTTTCTCCTGAACAAAATGATATATAATAAGTGTGGGTGCACTTAATGTGACATCGGTGAATTACGGTTGAACAGACATATAGCGCAAATTCCAGTTTTTGTTTACATTTTGTTTTGATCAGAACGTGCACTATTGACTCCGTCCTGAAGGGGTTAAGAACGCATTTAGTGAAATATAATAAATAGATTTTTTTTAAAAAATATATATCTGTAAAATCAACTTCATTATACAATGGCATAAAAGTTAAAAAAAGAAAAAGAAATTAAAAACGTACAGTCCTTACGGAGCAATTCTGCACTTTTGTACATCTAACCGTTCAATGACCCATGTCATTTCTCACAACCTTTCCATGCATCTTCTGAAACTATCATCTGTTCAAGTTCAAGTGTTGAACAGCAGCTGCATGACTGTTTGTTGTCTAAATTGAGTGCTATGAGAAATCCATTTTGTTATTAATGAAAAGTAGTTTTTTTCAGATAAATTTGCAATTCCACTCAGCTGCCATTTGGTTAACTGTTAAAATCACAAGAACCAAATTGCAGTGATAAAAAAAAAACATATCCACTTAAACTACAACTGTCATCACATTTTCACTTTACATTTTTGTGAAAAAGTATATTACATAAAATTATATTTCAGAGAAACTTCCTGACAGCCGCTAGATGCGCTTCTGCGACGCTGAATTGAGAAATGCTTTCCTATGGACTGTTTGAATGCGCACGTGGCTCTTGCTGCGCATGCGCATTCTGGTCCACTCGGGAGCTGACGTTGGAGTGGGAGGAGAGGTCACCAGCGCCGAGGGAGCCGGCGCTGGATAAAAGTAACTTTAACCCCTTCAGCGCCAAGGGAGGGGGGCCCTGAGGGTGGGGGCGACCTAAGGGTTATATAGTGTCAGAAACAGGAGTTTGTTTTCCTGACACTCTAGTGATCCTTTACATTTTTTTAAAGTTAGATATGTTGTTTGTTTTTTTCTGAAAATTTCACTTTATCTTGCTGAGCAGCCATATTGGGTCAGATTATTTTGCTATCTGAACAATTGCTGCTCAACTTGACTTTGCTGCTGTGATTGCTCTGTGAAACTGCAGCAAAACGCAAGTTAGGTTGCGCAGCAGTTGGTCAGATAACAGTACAGTCTGACCTAACACGGCAATAAGAAGTGAAAATTCCTCCCAAAAATCTGTATACATTGTTTAAAAAAAATAAATCAAATGCAAAGTGAAAATGTGATGACAGTTGTCATTTAAGTCAAGCCTGACATTCTCCCTAACCTCTCTCACGCTGTCACAATACCAAACTCTAAATCCACACTCCTGGCATGTTTTATTGTAGAAATGTCTTTATATTTTTATAGCAGGGACATTTGGATGCAGTTCTGTTAGTGTCTGGCTGGAGCTATTTTCAAACTAATCTTACCGCTTACTAAGATCCATTTGAAAATAATAGGGACTCAGTACAGTTTCACAATAGAGAATACAGACAGAGGGATTTTAGTTCCCAAATTGACATAAATTGATGCAGAATGTAAGTGGAATAAAATGCTAAAGTAAACTCTGTACTTAGTGAATAGATGGCTATGGTGTTTCTCACTCAATTGAAAATTGACTTTGAAAAGGCATTGCTAATACTGCAGGGACAGGATATAGACACCAGAACCACTACATTAAGCTGTAGTGGGTCTGAGGACTATAGTGTTCCTTTAATTAAAAAAAATAAATTGTTTTTTTTTTTGCTCCGGTGGGGGGATACCTAAGGCTACTAAGAAGAGGGACTCCATAGTAATAGGAATACAGATTTGTACTCCTAATGCTATACTGCTCCTTTAAGTTTTTTAGGCCTGTGCCTAGGGAGGAAGGATATAGTTTGATTTATCATTGGTGATACTTATGTATTAAAAACTTCCTGCGGGTTATTCTCTCTCAAATATGGTGTCGGACGGTTTCTTCCTGTATAATGGAAGGCAGTGGAGCGGGTTTAATAGCCTACTTTAACAATTTGTAACAATTTCTTTTTAAATATGTATATTGTGCAGTTTCTTCTACACGTATAATTAAGTGCACATTGTTAACCCCCTCCCTGGAGAGCCACTTTCTGTGAGGCATTTTAGGTGTAAGTGTGATAAAGCGTATATTGGTTGGGGGTTTGCATAAGCTTTTTCTTGGCCTAGGGCAGCAAAAAACCTGAATGATCACAGGGAGCAGGGAAGGAGTTCTTTAAAAGGAACAATACAAGGAGGCAAGTCATAAGAGGTCTATTGTTTTCTTAGAGTCCAAGTGTGGAACTTGTTTTCCCTATTAAATGGTGTTTCCTGTCTCTCTCATCAAAGAAAGCATCTTTTTTACATTCAATCGACATCAAAGTTTTAGTTTCACCTGGGGATCTTCATTTGCATTTTATCTACTAAAAACTCAGCGTTTCCATATATGTATACGTGGGGAAAACACTTAGGAAAGTCTGATTGCCTAAGTGTGACATATCATGATTCCCTTTTATTCCAGAAGTTTGGTCCTTAAGGGGTTAAAGATCCTTGCTATTTACTATGGTAGCTCCCAGGCTGGCTTCTTAGCATAACTTCCTTCAGACAGTGATCTATATTCCTTTGAATATGCTGTCAGAGTACTGTGATTGGCTGGTTTGGAAGCCACTGAATCATAGCGCCTTGTTAAACAAGTTTTGCTTCATACGAAACTAATGGTTAAAGGACCACTCTAGGCACCCAGACCACTTCAGCTTAATGAAGTGGTCTGGGTGCCTGGTCCAGCTAGGGTTAACCCATTTTTTTATAAACATAGCAGTTTATGAATGGGTTAAGCCTTCCCCCATTCCCTCTAGCGGCTGTCTCATTGACAGCCGCTAGAGGCGCTTGCGTGCTTCTCACTGATTTTCACAGTGAGAGCACGCCAGCGTCCATAGGAAAGCATTGATAATGCTTTCCTATGCGACCGGCTGAATGCGTGCGCAGCTCTTGCCGCACGTGCGCATTCAGCCGACGGGGAGGAGAGAAGGAGGATCGGAGGAGGAGAGCTCCCCGCCCAGCGCTGGAGAAAGGTAAGTTTTACCCCTTTCCAGAGCCGGGCGGGAGGGGGACCCTGAGGGTGGGGGCACCCTCAGGGCACTATAGTGCCAGGTAAACGAGTATGTTGTCCTGGCACTATAGTGGTCCTTTAAGTGTATATGCAGCAAAATGGCTTCTCTCTCTCTTTACAGTACACACTGGCAATGTGAATATACAATAAAATGGCTTCTCTCTCTTTACAGTACACACTGGCAATGTGAATATACAATAAAATGGCTTTTCCCCCCCAACCAGTGAAACTGCAAAGCCTTTTACTAAAATAAGGTGAAAGTTTTTCCTAACAAGTAGATATTTACCCCCAGAGGGTATACCATGGCTGGGAGTGGTTAGTAACATTATGGTCTAACAGGTAGCATAGAACCCCGTGAGAGAGGGATGTTTCGACCCTTATCATTGTGATAGAATGTTGGAATACTATTGGAATTCCAACGCAACATAAAGATTCTAAATTTCTGACAATAGAGCAGCTACTGCGAAAACCCACACTATCTTTGTTTCAGTGCGCTGTATCATTCCTATTAGATCATTTAAGGCTCTGCACATTCAGTATCTACTCTGTGACCTTGCTGGTTTGTTCCAGCCTTGTTGTTGTAGGTTGGCACACTTGGTATCACAGTGCACATGTCCTTCCTTTCCCAGGATACATACCGTACTAGGTAGGTACCCAATAACCCAGGAAAAAAACAGGAGGCATGCATTATTCATGTAAGATTTCATACCCAGCAGCCTTTACTACTGAGTCAACCAAATGTAGAGCTATGATGTAAGAAGGCCATTATTATTCCCTGCTAGACGGAAACAAACACTGAACCTCCACCCGTGTCGGTGACGCTCACACTGTGATTGCACCATCCCTCCTCTATCTGACGTCACGCCCCATGGAAGGGCGTTTCGGTCGGACGCCCCAGGACATACGTCACGGCTGGGAGTCCCCCCCGTATCACTCGGCAGCCGGGGAGGGGGGCGTAGCCGACCTGACGTCACTGACTTTTAAAGGCTACTGGCAGCCACTGGCACCTAGTGAGCGAAACGTACAGCACCGTGTCCGCACTGTATCACCACCGAGGGCAACCTACCTACCCACCTACCTACCTACCTACCTAATCACCCTCCCTCCCTCCCACAGCCCGGCTCATTGATCCATCCCCCCCCCCCCAGGGATCCCACACTAAGGCAGTCGGCGATGGGACAGTTGTTTGCTAAACTTATGAGCATTTTCGGCAATCGGGGTGAGTACCAGCACTGCATTTTTATTTTATTTTTTGGGGGGGGTGGGGGGGGAAGGATTTTACTAAAATCCTAATTGTAGCGAGTTAGAATTCGAAGGTGAAAATGTACTCTAAAATAGGAAAAACAATAACAACCAAAAAAAAAATCCAACTCCCCTAACAGTTTTAGCTATTGTTAAATCACTTTTTTTTCCCCTTCCTTATTTTTTTTTTATTTCAGTTTTATATCATTCGGATTTTAGTGAATAAGTCCCCATAGAATGCCCCAGTGATGCTGAGCTTCATCCCTCCAGGTGTTTAGAATTCTAGCCAAACATCTGGAATGGTAATAGGTTAGCTATAGCCATCATGGTGTAAGCTGTACTGTGTACAACAAGGGGGAGGGGGTGGGAAGGGGGGACTGGATTTGTGACCAGACTGGATATTGTCTACCACAATTCCTAATCAGAGGGCTGGCTGTTTCCCCTAACTTGGGATATATTGTATAGTTGGTTAATAGAAGTACTTTATTTATTTATTTTTTTAAATAAAAGTTAATCTTTGATCACAATAAGTATATCTAGATGTCCCTATACTGCCCTGTGTGTGTGTTCATGATGAAATTTAGTTTTTGTATCACCTCCCCCCATCCAAATAGTTTTTGTTCATTTTGTTTTCTCCTCTGAATAGACCCCACTGCACCTCTAGACTGTGGTGGGTTTTTTTTGTTTGTTTTTTTTCATGCACAGCTGGGCGTGAATTGTATTGAAACCCTGATGGTTTTTGAACGAATGGGGCTTAAGGAGAGATTATACCTTCCCTTGCAAAAAAAAATGTTTGGGCTTTTAAGTTTGTTTTTTTTTGTTTTTTTTTTTATGACCTCCTAAGCAAAAAAAGAAACGACTTTATGGTGATCCATGCATTTTACAAGCTAAAGATTTACTTATACACTTAGGGATTTACTCACTAAACCATTAATTGAGCGAACTGTGGAGCTTACAAAATAAGAGCAAGATAAAAGAGAAAGTAAAATTAATGGAAAGAGTGGAGTGTTTGTATTTACTGTATAAGGTTCTAGATTCATTGTGTCCCTTTCTATGGTAGATATTTATTTACACGTGTAAACCTGTGATATACAATCGTTTTTGTTAATATTAATACGAGGGTGTTGTTGTTGTTTAGTCTACAGTTATTTATAGTGGATCTGTAATTCCATGGCTTTTATTATTGTTTTTTTTTTTTTTAAGTTAATCACAAGCATATTTAATACAAAAAAAAAACTGGGTCTAGGGCATTTTTTTTATTTTTTTTTAAATTTATTTCAACTATTAGGGCCTTCAATTTGAAAATGCTTTTTTTTATTTTAGTGTATAATCTTCTTACTTGGGAACAGAACCCATTTTTGCATATTTTGCTTGTTTAGTTTCAACCACTAGGCAAGTATTTAGTGATAAAACTAGTGTACAGGGAAAACTGTGATCCCTTCTCAAAGGAGCTGACCCTATTTAAATGTAACAATCCATACATTAATTCAGTGCTGGGCGTCTGTAGATTTCTCCCCTTTAGTCTCAGATGGGCCCCCTAAGCAGTTGTTTGTATTGTAGCGCCACCCATGCCTTTAGCAGTTTTTTTTGTACTGTGGTCAGGTCTATGCCTAGTTCTAGATACAGACATTTTTCTCATTCCTTCTTCTCCACATCTGTCTGACTGTACAAACAAGAGAGAGACTAGAAAGCCGAAGGGAAGTTAGCTATGTTTGCTGGTAACCCTTTGTGGCAGGTCTCTGTGCTTTGTGCGGCTAAACTCTTGACATGAGTTATGACTCACATTTGCATTTAAATCTGCAGAAGAATATAGTAGTGGTTTTTTTTTTTTTTTTTTAATTTTTTGTGGGGGGGTCTTACAGTATTTGTCTTTGGAACAACGTAGAACTAAACCAAACCAGAAAAGCCTATGTTTTTTTTTTAAGATTAAGATCTTCACCTCTTCCCAAAGAAAGCATGCTTAGTTGAGCATGCACCAGTTGTGTGTTGGTGGAAGAATACTGAATGTTGTGTTTATTTTAATGTCTTCGTTTGACCATCTCTTTTGAGCAGATGAACCTTACACATTTTATTGTATTACCCTAATAAATAACGTATCATAAACTAGAAATCATGTTTGTTTGTTTTTTTGTTCGTTTGTTTTTTTTCTATGAATATACAGGACCTTAGTAAATATTAGTGTGAATTTTCCGTGATGTAGACATTTAGCTGTGTTTGCTCCCATGCTTAAATAGGTAGGTTGGATTGTGATCCTCATGTGTATTAGCCAGTCACAACAAGTGCCTAAGGCACTATTGTGGCAAACTTGGTCTAGTGTCATCAGCGACTATGCATTATACTACGAATGGTTTAGATTTTCAATGTCAAAGTGGCACTTGTTGTCTTAGGGGTGCACGATGAGGTCTTGTAGAATTTGTGAATTTTGTTGTGATATTTAATTAGCTTCCTAATTTTTCTGGAACTTAAACCCAAGATGGATCTGTCAGTAGCTACCTGTAGCAGTTTGTGTATAAAAATTTTTTATTTTTTTTCTTTCGATTTGTAAAACTTTTTTTTTTTAGAGCATTTGCCTGCTTGTGCCTACTTCTTACAAACCAATTCACACCCTTCCCCTTTCCTGTTCTGTTTGTACTACTCTGCAGCCTGTGCTTGAGATTATGCTGATTAACGGCCTTTCTTTATTACAGAGCATAAGGTGATCATTGTAGGATTGGACAATGCCGGGAAGACCACCATCCTGTACCAATTGTAAGTATTTTACTTTCACACCCAACCCCCAGCAGATGGCCAGGGTTACAAGGAGGGGGGGGGGAAGCAAACACTTGATGTTAAAAGGACAAAGAAGCTGTTTAACATATGGCCATTACAGGATGGATGTATAGAAGATATTGATTGAAAGCGTGTGTGAAACAAATAAATTGGGGAAAATTGCTGTGATTAGAACTTGTCATATACAAGGTAGTGTTATTGTGCAGCTAAAAAACTTTATATGGTATTTATGTGCTGTAAACGGATATTCAATGTGGCTGTTACTACCTGTATTTTGGAGTTCATGGCATGACTGAATATTGAGAATTCCTAAAATGTCAATAGTGGCTTATAATTTTGTTTATTTTGAACCATGCTAGTACAAACTAAAATATATAGGTAAAAAAATCATGGGACTTTCCTGCAATCATTTTAGATTTCTTGTTAAAGGTATACACTAGGGAAAAATCCCCAACTGACCAATTTTGTTGCAAAACCGTATTAAGATTGGCTGAAATAATCCCCAATCAGAATAGAGCTATAATTACAATCCTGGTCACTGGCCAGAAAGGGGCAAATATAGGATAAATAATTTGGCAATATGTCCTGCAAATGTCTCTGTCTACTCTTACATTTTTGTACATTGAACTTTTGATGGATCAGTGATGTATCTTTAACTAATTAGGGCTCAGTTTGACAATGTAGATAGCCTTATAGATAAAGGAAACATACAAAGAGAAACTTATATATACAGTTGTTTTTATACTATAAGTTTACGCTATGAAACTATAATCGTTCCTTCAGGCTATTCAAGGTTATTTGGCAATTACCCATCTTGATTCTATTTAGAATTCCAGACTGTGTAAACTGTTAACTTGGTGGGGTTTTGGCAAGCTTATTATCAATTTAAAATAAGTATGACTTAACGTGAATATTATGTATGTAACGAGGAGTTTATGAACTATTCAAAATGTCACAAAATGAAAATATAATCGTTGCACACAGAGGACACTGACAAACTTTTACACACAGACAGTGACACATACTCACTGACAGGCACTCACTTATTTGACACACACACATTCACTGACAGTCACACACTGATATGACAGACATTGACTGCCACCTACACATTCTTACACACTCACAAATTTATTATTTTATTTAAGCCCACCAGGTGTCTCTACCTTTGGGAGAAATAGATTGGTTTTGAAATGAAGTGTATGTAAAACAATGAGAAACGTATTTCTAACTTTTTAGTATATGACTGGACTATGTAGCCATTTCAAGCACTGTCTGAACTAAGTCACATGTATATTGTTGAAGAATCCTTACTATGGGGGTAGGAATGAGTTATCTCTCTTTCTCTTTCTCTTTCTCTTTCTCTTTCTCTTTCTCTTTCTCTTTCTCTTTCTCTTTCTCTTTCTCTTTCTCTTTCTCTTTCTCTTTCTCTTTCTCTTTCTCTTTCTCTTTCTCTTTCTCTTTCTCTTTCTCTTTCTTTTTCTCTTTCTCTTTCTCTTTCTCTTTCTCTTTCATACTTCATGCAAGGTTTATATTAAAGATAGTTTCGAGACGACCGTTGTCCTTTCTCACATACTCTGTGTTTAAATGCAAAGATATGTTTTGTAAACCAGCAGTTGCTGTTTCACTGACTATATCGTCTTTCATCCTTCAGTTTAATGAATGAGGTGGTCCATACTGCCCCAACCATTGGCAGCAATGTGGAGGAGATTGTAATAAGGAACACACAGTTCCTGATGTGGGACATTGGTGGACAAGAAACTCTCAGGGCAACGTGGAACAGTTACTACTCAAACACCGAGGTGGGTACCACCAGTCTTCTTGTTTTCCTTGCACTACGAAGACATCTCTTAACTTAAAGTTAACCTGTTAAGAAATATTCAACTTGCCTTAAGTTACCCCCCAAAACATCATATATTACAAAGATACATGATGTTTTCTGTGTAAAATATTGACATATACTTCCCCTCCTTTTCCATTCCACCATCTTCCTGAGCTTTGTGGGTGTTAACTCTTCCCCTGCTATGTTTCTTCTCTGCCCAAGTGTTTTCATAAAGGAAGCCTGACCCTTCTTTTTAGTTCAATATGGAACTTTAGGTAATTTTTTTTTTTTTGGGAATTCTAGACCAAAAAACTTCATCTTCTGTTCCAGATATTTCTGCCCATTCTGTTTTATAGTAAGACTCCCTCATGGCATATTTCTACACACACAGCATTTGTTTACTCAAAATGAGTAAGGCTGAAGCTTGCGACTGCTGATCCCACTACAAAGACCTAGATTGTTATCTCGATACAATGCCAAACTGCCTGTTGGTGGGATAAATATGCCTAAGACCCCAAAATGCATTTATTTTTTTAAAAAGGTAACTTACTAAGAAATATTTTGCTCTAAGCACAAACCGCACTGACTGCCTTGATGGTCTTTTTCAGTTTGTTATTCTGGTGATTGACAGCACAGATCGAGAGAGACTACCAGAAACTCGGGAAGAGTTGTACAAAATGTTGGCACATGAGGTGAGTCGCTTTTTCTTTGTTAGTCTTCATAGCTAACTATACACTAATGTGATAAATTAATAACTCCTTTTCTTCCTGGGCATAGGAGCTTCGAGATGCAGCAGTACTTGTCTTCGCCAATAAACAGGATGTGAAAAACTCGATGACTGCTTCAGAGATTTCATCTATGTTGGCACTTGGCGCCATTAAAGACAGAGCCTGGCATATTCAGGGCTGTTGCGCACTTACAGGAGAAGGGTGAGTTGTTGTTGTTTTTTGTTTGTGTTTTTTTTCAGAATTGCCACATTACAAACACATTTCTGTACTTTTCAATATCTAGACATTTTGTATTGCCCTTTGCGATTTTTTTTTTTTTTTTATTATATGCAAAATCTGTTTGTTTATTGTATCTGTAAATCAATAGTTGGCTTGATGAATATTTGAATTATACATGATATATAAGTTAATGACAGATCTAAATCTGAAATCGAATGATTGTAAACAAATATATACAACACCATATTTACGCTAATACCTGGAAGTGTGTGTATGCAAGTCTCTAAGCAATGTCTGATACTTTAGAATTGTGATACTGATTTATTTTAATCGCTTTTCTTTTATTCAGATTACCAGCTGGATTGGACTGGTTGAAATCTCGTGTCACTGCTAACTGACAATAGTGCAAGTTTTGTATTTATTTTGTGCGCGAAGCACTTTTTTTGTACATTTGATATTTTAATTTTGTATTTATAAATATATATTTGGGGTTTTTTTTATAAAAAAATGCAAAACAAAAAAAAACAACTTTTTGATATGGACGATTTTTATTATTATTTTTTTTTACTTTTTTTATTTGAGTGGAATTTTCAGACCTTGGTGAAGCTCTTTGGTTACTACACTGTAAAAATACCTGGACACGCTCGGTTTAATGCTTCCCAAGTTCATATCCACAACTTTGATGGAGAGACGTTACATTTCTGATTCATGCAACATTGAAATCATCCAAATCATTTTGTGGAAATACAAGGTTCCAGCTGTAGAAAGCAATTGAAGACCTTATGTAGATCCTGCAACTCCAGCCAGCCAAAACCAATCGAGATTCACTTTTTGGTCACTTGTGACACTGATCTCAGTCCCTGGATACCAAGAAGTCATTTTTGCACCTGTAACTGTATTAAGTTTTAACTCATGTAGGTGTAACTATATGAAATGTGGATACTCTCATATTTGCTCACATCTGTTTTTTTTTTTGTTTTTGTTTTGTTTTTTTCCCCTAACCATCCCTACCTCAATCTCACACACCCTTCCTTCTTGTAAACGTATGATTTGCAATCTTTTGTGGGATAGATAAAGTTTGCAAACGTGGTTTTTTTTTTTTAACTAATACAATAAATAGAAGGGTTGTTTTTATATTTGTTTTAAAATGTATAGTGAGTGATAATGTAAATATTTTACACTTTTTTTTTTTATTTTTATATTCCATTTATTGACGACCTGTGACAAATTGTGAAGCTGAGCAATGTTTGCATGTCAGGAATGTGATTCAGAAATACTGAAGAGTGTGTGTGTGTGTGTATGTGTATATATAATTTCATCCCTGAAAAATTTTGTATTTATGAATTTAAAACAACAAATTATGCTTCTATCAAACCTGTCCAGTCTTCAATAATGTAATCCTTACAGACATGACTGTGCAATCCAAATATTTAGATACAACAACTTGCTACATGTCTTCAAGAATAAAGATACTCTAATGCAGGGGTGCGCAAAAGGTAGCACCCTAGATGTTTTAAAACTGCTTCTTACAAGATGCTGTGTCATTCTAAAGACATGCAAAGCATCATGGTAGTTGTAGTTCTACAACATCTGGAGGATCTACCTTTTGGGCACCCCTGCTCTAATTCACTGCAAATATACGGCATCTAAGGGGAGACTGGGTTCATAATCGTGGTGGTAACAAAATGCCAAAACAGCATAGCTGGAGGCTGAATTTACTGTTTAATGAATAAACCCGTGTAGTATTAAGTTGTGACTCATTACAAATCTTGAAGTTAAAGGCGTAAAAAAAAAATATATATATATATATATATATATTTTTTTTTTTTTTTTTATTATTATTTTTTTAAACAAATCATTAATTTGCATATTACTGTTCTTTTTCACATGTGATGGTTTCAACCCCCCCCCACCCCCCTTTTCTTTCAAAGGAGCAAACTTATTCATGAGCAGAATCTCGCTGTCTTTAAATGGAGATTTGGTAAACTTTGCAAGAGACCTTTCATTGGTGCTAGAGTGTGAGGAGGGGCAAGGGAATGACTTTGTGTTTTATAGTATTAAGCCTTTCTGTGTCTGCCTGTGCTGGGAATGTCTGCACTATAGGTATGAGTAAGGTGTCATTAAATATTGTTTGTTTTTTATATTTGTGTGCTGTGATATATATTTTTTTTTTTTTTTTTTTTTTTAATATGACTGGAGGTGGATCATTGATTCTACATGAACAAAGTGATGATGAACACCACGTGACGGATATGTTTCTCATTTACACATCTGGGTGAACATTTATTCTGTGTTATGCTTAGTACACACATAGATGTGTGTGCTGTTGAAAAAGGAAGTGCTATAAACTGGTTCAGTTTTTAATTTTAATATATATATATTTTTTATTTTTTTTTGTTCCGCCATTCAAATTCATTTGGATGTATTTAAAGAGTACGGTAACTTTCCCTTCCAGAGAGGGGACGGATCCTTGTTCCTTTACCTCACTGGGGTAAACGTTACCTCTGCTGGGATTCTGTTTTAGAGGCGTCACCCCACAATGTCTTAGAATTCTTGCACATCATCACTCACACTCGTGTACTCTGTGTACGGTGCTAATAATTTGCCTTGACTGCGAATAAAGAAACAAAATGATTTTTTTTTGTTTTAAGAAAAACATGTTATTGCAACTTGTAGCTAGTTGTTTGTGTTAAAAGGGGGAAGTGACACTCTCATACCTCATTCTTGTAATTCAATACAGAGGTGAAAGTGTTAAACCATCCCTTTAAGTGCCATAACAAGTTTGCGTCATTACAATGTTTATGGTGCAAAGCTTACCTGAGGAGTAGGACTGCTGCTGGGGTAAAATTAGAGGACTGTGAGGAGTCCAACTGAAGTTGAAGTTGTGCATTTACAGAAGCATGGAAGGTATTTTACTTATTCTTTAATACATCTTATAATGCATTAAAATAATGAAGGGATAATTTTTTTTTATTTTTTATTTTTATTTAAAGGCACGCTATATGATCAGGAACACAAACGTGTTTTCCTGACCCTATGGTGTTAAAACCACCATTTAGGTGGTTTACCTTAGTTCCATCCCTGGGTGTGTCTGCTTGTGCTGGCCTTGCCCCTGATCCACCTCCTTGGCTGATGCTGGCATCAGCCAGGAAAAGAAATGGAATGGATGAGATCATCAAGGAGGAGAGGCTAAACACTGGCTTGGCCAAACAGCATCTTCTCATAGAGATGCATTGAATCAAAGCATCTCTATGGGGAAAGTTCTGCATCTCCATGCAGAGTGTGGATAGGCTGAATATCAGTACTGCACCCATACCTAAGTCTCTGCAAATCTTTATATTTAAATAGAAGTCAAAATTACATGCAAATAGTCAATGTCTTATTGACCAGAATTTGAGTACATTTGGAGTAAATTATGAGAGTTTAGTTTACTCTTTGTGCTGTGAGTCACAGTGCTCAGAATACCCCTAATACTTTGTGGCACCTCCTCCTCTTAGAAGCTACTCCTATTGGCCTTCTCATTCCATATTTAACTAGGTAAAGGACAGCAGGAAAAAAAGCCCAAAGAATCTTGGCAGGAGTAAATCCACGGGTCATCATTATCCAAAAGAGAGAAAATAACAGAGAGGAGACTCATGGCCAACACAGATGAAATTATCAGTAAGCAAAACTTTATCAGCTGTTACTTCTGGGCTAAGACATACACAAGTTATTATACTAACCTCTTAAACTTCATGCCCCTATTGGGATGGTCAATTTATGTAGTGTGGCGGAGCTCCGCCAGTACCTCTGTCTGCCCAATTGGTCCTGTAAAGTGCTGTTCCCAAAAAAGTGCCACCCGGGATGGACCACTCCCTCCGGTCTTCCCTAGGTATGCCACAGCTTACTTTATTTGCCATGCAGGTTACTACATTTCATCTATAGCCTTAAAGGGACATAATATGTACCCAGAACACTTCATCTCAATAAAGTGGTCTGGGCACGCACTATGTTCCTGCCATTTTAACCCTGCAAATGAAAAACACTGCCATTCTGCAGGAATGGCAATGTTTATTTTGCATGGTTTAAACCACTAGAGTTGCTTCTGCCAAAATAGCCAAGTAAAACATTGCTATTTCAATCAGATTGCCTTATAAATACCATTTTATTGCAACAGTGCAGCATTGTGCTACACATGCACACTTAGCCATCCATTGCTTTTACATAGAAAAGCATTAGATAGGCGGAGATCATCAATTTTGATAATCTCAACCAAGGAGGCATGACAGCAGGACGCCGTGAGGACTGAAAGGTAAGTAAATCTCGCCCTCCAAGCCCCCAGCACTACTATGGATTGAAACTATAATGTTAGGAATGTATGTATGATACAGGCATAAACGGTCCTAGTATTCATACAAAAGAAAAATCAAAACACAGGAAATTTAACAAACGCCACATTTTATATAGAAAAAAATCTATATACTTAAAAGACCAAATCTATAATACACTATTTTTACAAAACTGGAGAAAGTGAGAGGTAACAAAAAAAAACAAACAAACAAAAACATTTTGCTTTGTTGTCCTACCTACACACAGACAGATTGGTAAAATGAATTTTCTTCAGAGGTTAAGCCACTTAGTGATAATGCTTGTCTCCATAATAGGAGTACGTCCATGGGACTGAATGTGCACCATTATCTGTGAATTAGTACATGAATGAGTTTGATAAGACATTTTTATATAGGCATTTGTGGGAATCTTGGAAATTTTGTGTGGCTCCCTTGAGGCTCTTGTTGCCTTTATTGAGGCTATGAAATCCCCGAACAGAACTTTAAAGGGACACTATAGTGTTAAGAATACAAAGATGTATTCTTAACACTATAGTGTCCCTCTCCTTCCCCCCACCCAGGCAATTAAAGAGTTTAAAACCGTTTAAGCACTCAACTTATTCCAGAGCCAAGGTCCTTGTGGCTCCATCTCTGCCTCCTTCAACATCATTCCGAGGGGGACTTTGAAGGTGTTGGATGTTCTCATGCACAGCGTGAGAAAGTCCAGCGTTGTTTTCACAAGAGGCAGTCTTAATGTTGCAGTTTCTCTAAAACTGTAATGTTTTTCAGCTGCAGAGTTAAAGGGACAAGGACACTGCACTCAAACCACTGTAATTAGATGAAGTGGTCTGGGTGTCTAAAGTGTCCCTTTAATATACATACGGGGGATAGGGTTACTAAATTTTGTACTAGAAATACACCACAGCTGTCCTACGTTTGTAACAGACTTATTTTCAAAACCAAAGCAGATCTATTTACTAAAAAATGAATTTTATCCAGATGTTATTTTGACTCGTATTTCTCATATTCACTAATGCATAATCAGGTCAGAATGCCGCAGTATCAAATAGAATTTACAAAGAACCAATTGTAAAGAAAATAAGGACAAGTGCATTTGGTCCCAATTAAATTATAGTTTGCTTGCTTTTTGCCAGAGAGCAATAATAATTAGGACTATTTGCACACAAGCAGTGTAGTGCTGAGTTTAGTGATTAACCATTTATTGCATAAATACTGTGATTGTCCATATTTGCACCATACACGATTAAAGGGATCTAAATGCAGTTGTTATGGTGCCAGGACGCACTCTTACCTCAAGGGGTTAAATCGTTTTCTTCAGTAGCTATGTCCACTCTCCGCAGGCAGAAAGAAATGTACCTTTGCCAAGCCAGTTTAATGAATGCGATGTCACTGATAAGCTGAGAGCGTCAGTTGACGCTCTGCGCTTCCTGAATTTGAAAATTGCAATGCCGTTTGGGGGGCAGTGGACATCGCTGCTGGAGGCAGCGTAGGGTTAAACTGTTCGAAAACTGTTTAACTCCTTGAGTGCCTCCAGGGGCCTACTGGTACCATAACAACTTCATTTAGATGAATTTGTTTTAGTGCCTGGAGTGTCCATTTTAGGCTATTGGTAAAATGCTGTTATGTCTTGTGACTTTCTTAACTTATATGGCTCCAGTCAAAAATAAAATACAGCATTTTAACTGCATCAGTTTCGTGTTGCATGCTCATTTCTACTTTTATGGTTGTTGGGGAGTAGCAGTTCTGCCTTAGAAAAGTAGCACCAAGACCAGCACTCATGAACTGTTATCGTGAAAAGAAATAGCAAGAGAACCTTGCAGGGTAAATACTTCATATCCAACGAATGCATAAGCCTAGCCACTTCTGGACTTCCAGGCCGTTCAGATAAATTATTCTTTTGGCATATTAAAGCTACAAGTATATTGTATCAGTTATGTATTTTTATGTAACACTGTATATTTTGCTGTACGGAGAGATAATGTGATTAGCAGTACATTCTTGCACAATTATCTCTCCTGTACAGCAGGCTAAGTTCCCTGCACAGTCCTCTGTAGTAAAACCCCTGCTTAACCTCTGCATGGAAACCCCTTGCATAAATACTGTGACCGTGGAATAAAATGACAGTTGACTCCCAGACTGTGTCGTCTAGTAATAAAGAGGGATTATTATTACGCTGCCTGTGTTTTACCTGCTTTATCCTGACTACCAGCGGAGATACTGTGGATTATACTGCTACTCCGCTACAAAGTTCAACAGGAAGTGCAGGTATTTAAAGGACCACTATAGGCACCCAGACCACTTCAGCTCAATGAAGTGGTCTGGGTGCCAGGTCCATCTAATGTTAACCCTGCTTGCTGTAAACATAGCAGTTTCAGAGGAACTGCTATGTTTACACTAGGGTTAATCCAGCCTGTAGTGGCTGTCTCCCTGATCACAGTGAGAAGACGCTGACGTCCACAAGAAAGCATTGAGAAATGCTTTCCTATGCACTATTTGAATGCACGTGCGGCTCTTGACGCGCATGCGCATTCGGCGCTGACGGCAGAGGGAGGAGAGTTCCCCAGCGCCGAGGGAGCCTGGTGCTAGAGAAAGATAAGTGTTTAACCCCTTCAGTCCTTTTTAGCCCAGCGGGAGTGGGACCCTGAGGGTGGGGGGACCTATTAACACTGGAGAGCCAGGAAAACAAGTTTGTTTTCCTGGCAATTTAGTGGTCCTTTAAAGGGATACTATAGTCACCCAGACCACTTCAGCTCAATGAAGTGGTCTGGGTGCCAGGTCCCCCAGGTTTTAACCCTTCAGATGTAAACATAGCAAAACTGCTATGTTTATATTAGGGGTTAATCCAACCTCTA